AGAAGTTTTCATGTAGTAAAAACTTATATGTCACATTAGACGGAGTGTTTTGTATTTATAGCTAGCTGCAATTTCCGGCTTTGACCCTTAAAGTCCTAACGTCGTTTTTGACAGTACACTGACAGATAACCTGCTTGGCGTGGGTTTCAAAACGGCCTACGTTTAAGTTACGACGTGAAGGACCTGTCAGTGATCGAATTCTCAAGGTTTGCCGCCGTGCTACTCGCAAACAAAATTTCTCAGAAAAAGCCACAGGGGGTGCTTCCTGTGTAACATCAAGATTTGGAATAAGTCCATTCCTGAAAACAAGAATGTGACCATGCCCCACTGGCTTATGTATTACTTGTCTGCAATTAAATTTTGTTATTGATTATACTAATTATACTTAAATTAGTGAGTGACAGTGGGAGCGGTTACACTTATGTTATATTCATGGCGGTTGAAAACAAAGCAGTTAGAACTAAAAGAAGGCTAGATGTTAAAACCATCTGTCTATGGCCCTACAGCCCTTTTTCGGGCCTTGGCCGCTTTTCCAATTTCTTCAACTTTGCCGGGGATCAGCCCGTCGCAATGCCGCTACTTGCACAAACACAGAATAAGGGCACACAGGCATCCATGCCTCAGGTGGGATTGGCACCCACGATCTCAGCATTGGAGCGAGTCAAGAGAGTTCATGCCGTAGACCGCGCGCCCACTGTGACCGGCAGTGTTAAAGCGACAAAATGAATATCTTTACAGTTTATTGCAGCGTTTGCTGTGTTAAAATCAGGCAGATAGGACAACTAGCATGCAGCGGCAGCGCTTCTCTGTGGCCAGTCGCAACGCATCATCAGTAATGCGGACTGAGTTCGGTATTTCAGCATCGCTGCCGAGGTAGCGCATTAAGAAATTGTCACAGTGCTGGGCGCGTCTATTATTTTTATTGCTAGTGGAGTGGGACTAAGTCCCTTGTACTGCGGCCACTTCTGGCCTATTGTACCAGCCCCAGATGATAGGTGAGGGTGATTGTGGAGCAATTGGTGGAATGAAGATTGGCAGGGGAAACCGAAGTACTCGGAGAAAACCTGCCCCAGCGCCACTTTGTCCACCACAAATTCCACTTGACCTGTTGCGTAGCCGTGCTGGTTGCTCCGCCGTCGTCAGGTTAATGATAATTAATTATCTCAAGATTGAGGTTTGTCTAATATTACTGAGTATCAGTAATGGGATTTTCAATATCTCGTGGGAAAGGACTCTGCCTAGACAAGAGTCGAAGGAAAACCGGAGAATCACAAGTTGAAGTTGAGTTGAGAAAGATGTTTATTAGAAGTTTGAAAAGTTAGATTAAGTAGTCTTCAGTACAGTCGATGTACACTAGACCAGATCTTGTTGGCCTCTCTTCTGCCCTCTCTACATACATACATTTCTTATACTTAACAAAAATTAATTGGGATAGCAAGTCAGACTGTTTTAATTAGGCTGTCTCTTAAAGTTGGAAGGGGTGAGCTATTGGTAGTGATAGACCCTTGAACTTTAACGAAACAAGTCCACTGTTTCCCTACGTCTATCTTATCGTCAGTTTTTTCTTGGTTCCTGGGTTACAGCAGCGAGACAGATTAATGGTTTCCTGTGTCTGACAAACAATCTCAATATACAGTTTACAAAAGTTATAATCATTCAGTACTAATTTTCTTTTTAATTATCATATCATTTTATATCCCCCCCTAGTGAAGTTTTTGCTACCTGATGTCGCACTACATGACACCTTTTTGCTACCTGATGTCGCACTACACGACAGATCAGACACGGGCTCGAACCCGGGCTGCCGTGGTGGGAAGCCAGCGACTAACCCCTTGAACTATGGCGTGGCCCACGAACCTCTTTACTTGCGTCAATTAAAGTTTTTTTTTTCTTTATGGTATTTACATTATCACCCAGTAGATTCACGTTATCGGCATAGGCCAACAGCTGATGTGTCCCGTTTAATTTCAGTCCCACCTGGTTTTCCTGGACCTTCCTAATTGCATATTCTAAAGCGAAGTTGATAAGGAGTGGCAATAAAGCATCTCCTTGTCTTAGACCATTCTGGATATGAAATTTATCACAAATTGTTTACCTATAAGGACTTTACTACACATTTTATTTAAACAATCTGCTGCCCTGAATGATCGGACATCAAGTATACTTGAATGCCATCTCCTACATATCAAAATATGGTCGATTTGATTGTGTATCTTCCCATCAGGAAGTAAATTTATGAATGTTACGATGTGGGAACATTGTACTTTTGACAGTAAGATTTTTTGAGGTGGTAAAGTTTACAAAGTTTACTCTAACTCCATTATCATTACTAATTTCATTCAAACTGTCATTTCCAATTGTTGGTTTGAAAATTTCTTCCCTCCCTACTTTGGCATCGAAATCTCATAATAGAATTTAATAGTGTAACGTGTTTACGTTACTGAAGACGCCGTTCGGATTGTTAACCGGTTTATTCAACAATTACAAGAAACGGCTACAATTAATGATAACAATNCAAATAACGGCTACAATTACTTATCTCACAGTTGCGGGGTTTCACACTTTATAACCCTAATCGCATTAATCTGTTAACACTGTTGCGGGGTTTCACGATTTATAACCCTATGCGCAAATCAGTTCAGTCTGCCTTCAGTAGGCTACACGTTTACAGTCGGGGAGCTAGGTATCACTGTATCACACGCTCCCAATTACACAATCACACTCACGTCCGGATCTTCTTTCCGCGACGGCTGCTATACTCCAACTATAGTCGGCTGACTGGAGAACTGTTGATAACACACTCGCTCGTCGACTACTTAACTCAGCGATGTCCACGTTATAACTGTGTCAGGCGGCTGCTACAGTAGAACTCGATCGTAACGCACTGTGCAGCTCACTTATATAGCTGCAGTTCTTGCCTGTGGCGTAATGAGTGCCACGTCACAGTAGGACGTTGATTACGGGTACGTAGCGGTGCGCGTTACGTCACCGCGGAGGGCTGGCGGGGAGCGCTACGTTACCGTGGGGAGGAGGGGGGAGGAGAGCGCTGACTTACCCGCCGCGTCACTGCTGGGGGGGGGGTTCTCAGTCGCGCAACATGTTACAATAGGGTACTTTAGGAACTTATCAAATACATGTTCTAGTTCTTCATAGAACCTGTCCTTTATGTCGTTAATTTTATCTTTGTTGGGGCATGAACATTCATAATGATGATATCACACCAGCGACCTTTTAGTATTATATACGATAGCCTATCACTAATGATCTCAACCATCTTAACTGTTGATACGATTCTCTTATGTACGATAGAACCTGTACCTAAAGTCGTGATTTTCATTCCCCTTTCCATAGAAAAATGTATAGTCTCCTGCTGGTGCAATGCCACCTTCATCCCATCTGACCTCCTGCACTCCCGCCAAATCTAACTTATATTTTGAGATTTCGTCCGCCACTGCAAATAATTTTCTTGGGGAGTGCGTAGGGCTGACAACCTTACCACCATCTTTGAGCCAATTGTCTAGATAATGTGGGACTCTCAACGTCTCACAGCCCTGTGGGGCCCTCACGGCCTGTTACATGGATAGATTTACTTACTTTTCCCTGCCCTGAGTGAACCTGCCCTATACATACTTCTAGCATTATTGCTGGAAATTAAAAAGTACTGCATTTGAGTGACCTCAGACAACAGAATGTTCACAGCATATTTCATGAAAATTGGTCAGCTGCTTCCAAAGGTCAAAGGGGAAAAGTGGCATGCTGATCTCGTTACTTCACTTCATTTCAACACTAGAGGGAAGCAGTGTAGTTAGTGGGCATGTTTAGATCAAAATAAATAAATAAATCTTGTAAACTTCAAAAGTTTTATATTCACATGCAGTTCTTTCAATATTTCAACTCGGCAAACACTCATATGTATATACTGATAGAAAATTAATGTCTGTATTCTTGTTTCACTTTATATTTACAATATCCCTCGGCAACTGCCCCGAGAGTGACTGCTTCTTGTCCAAGCTGGACTATTTATACCTAGGCGGATGCTATACAATGAGCCCTCTGTTGTCTTTCGAATCCAAAACTCTGAGTGCAAACTCAGGATCTCTGCTGTGATTTCACTCGGAATCTCTTGTGATACTTGTAACCTCGTGATACTCGAGACACTCGTGATACTGAACAGTCGCCGGAGCTACACTCTCTTATACATATAGCCAGCGGTCGGACGGAATAGGGAATACCTTATCGAAGAGTTAGTTTCATCTGTTGCTTAGGAAATGCTAGCACAGAACACCTTGTAGAAGTGTTTGGTTTCATCCGTTGTTACGCAACGGAACCTCTTATCCTCTCATCCCCGGGGAAACGCGTTTGTTGTTTCGGCAATTCCTATGCAACGGTCTGTTTCATCTGTTGCTTAGGAAATACTAGCACAGAACACCTTGTACAAGTGTTTGGTTTCATCCGTTGTTACGCAACGGAACCTCTTATCCTGTCATCTCCGGGGAAACGCGTTTGATGTTTCGGCAATTCCTATGCAACGGTCTGTTCTAGCGTTTCCTTAGAAGCGACTCTTCTGAATTCCAAACACGTTAAAACAGATGGCGATGTTCTTCAAAAGACGCATCTTTTTACCTGTCACAGTCGTGACAGCTACACAATAGGTATATAAAAACGCGCGTATTCGAATGCAGTGTTCTGTCAAAATTTCGAAACAATCGGTGAAGAACTTTCGGAGATCTTCGACCAGAGACAAACCAATATTTACGTTTTTATTTATATAGATTGGTCAACTACGGTCATTGCAGAAATATGCTACCTCAGTCACAAACTGATCACCTTTTCTTCTCTATGCAATGATATAACTGTTTGCTTGATATGAGAATTTGTGAGGGTATTTTCCAGAGCTATACACTAATATAAAAAAATAAAACTCATCTTGGGTAGTATGTACCGATAGGCGATACTATTAGTATGCTGGCAGTGATCATCAGCTCCAAAGTATGCCAGTCTCAGACCATACGAATTGACACATGGATTCTCAGGGTGCCCTTACGTGCAAGAAGTCTGGCGGTGCAGGCGTCAAATCTGAGACAGTCAGGCTTCATTATTATTTTGAAGTATGGTTCAAGGATGGATTTTGGTGTTGCTTCCCATGTCAAATGTTCTCTTCGCTTTTTCACTTGTAGCGTATATGCAAATTTTCCAGCCTGTTCCCTTGATCCAATCAGGTGTACTGTAAAAAGGAACTTTTCACGTTCATTCAACTCCCCTCGGTTCAGAAGTAGCAACCTGAAATGGTGGCCAAAGCATGTCTGCATCTTGACCCAGTTCCCTGCTCCTGGCTGATTGATGTGTGTTGCTGAGAATACGACGTACTCTCCTTGAAGAATTTCGACTGAATTATGAGACTTCATAGTGTGAGGTATCACCTTATTATTGCAACCTTGCCACTTGCAAAAGGGCCCCTGGAACGGACAGGGGTATGGCCGGAATTCACACGCTTCTTCATGTTCCCTCCTCTCAGTGTATAGAAGGGCTACTGCACAGCCAGGTTGTGAATATTTGCATGGGAACATATGGGCGCTTGCATATTCCTCCATTGCCAAGTTCCGAATATTGCCCAAAGGTTCCCGACATCTTCGACAACAAGTCTCCTTGGATCGACACTTAGAACATATAAGATGTCCATAACAACACTGCAGTATTGGAGGCTGAAAATAAACAGAGCACTCTGGACATGTGTAGAGCTTTCTTATGAATCGAGAAACAATTGTTTTGGTCTCCATGGCTGATGTACTGTTATGATCCATCTACGGAGATCGAGCCCCTCACTTTTACCTGCGAACAGAGAAATAGAAATAAATATCGTCAGATTATTCTGGAGGCACATGAGAAGCTGAAAGCTAGAGATAAACTCAACTATAGGAACGCCTCATAACTGTGATGGATTGTGTTACAAGTCGGGTGGAGTCGAATCACTCCGCCTACCTCTACTAGTGATCATTCCTGGCTGAAGTGCGATAATTAGTTAACTCTAATTACCAATTCTCGAAATTGGATCGCATCTACGAAAATCTCAGAAAGTTGGTTACCCATGATTCCAAGATAATATGCCTATTATTTTACCAAGTCTGTTTGTGTCACAGTGTGCACAGGCTCCTCCTTGGGAAGCTGACAGGAAACGTTCCCACATTATGGAAGCCGAGAATTCAGTCAGTGTCTTTGTAGTCAGTGTAGCTCTCTTATAGACCCTCAGCCGGACAACTGGAAAACGCCTTCTTCCTTGTTGCCTAGTCGCCTGTTTACCGATATCCTAGCAACGCTGTCGGGAGTTGTTCACTTCTGCCTAGCAACCGGGGCATCCCTTGGTCACGTCAACACGCAAGGGGGGGGGCGGGGTGTTGACTGGCCTATTACCGTAGCAACGGCAAAGCTCCGATGCCGCCACGTCTCCGCTGAGGAGGGAGGGGTGTCCTTCACCGCGCAACCCGTCACACTATATATATAGTATTGTGACATGCTGAGCTATGGATGACGCCCCTCCCCCACCCCCCGCCAGCCGTGATGCGCCGAGCAAAGCCGAAGCGAGCCGATGTTAGCCGAGTCCTAGCATCCTGGTCGCTAGGCAACGCGAGTCAACAGCGGTGACGTCACCAAGTAGTAACAGCGGTTACTTTCGCTAGCGTTACTAGCAACACAGCGCCAGGCAACAAGGGTGCCTGTTACGTGGCCGTTTTCCGTATTGTCCGATCAAGGTTACATAAGGAGCAGCGAAGGCTATTCACAGTTAGTTGTACTGAGTCAGTCAGTT